CGGGGGGGGGGTGGGGATGATGGCAAAGCGAGTGCTCGGCTGCTGGCCCAGAGTGGCCGTCATTGCTCAGGAAGTGGTGCCTTATGGGGCTGCTCTGCTTTACACTGGAGCGTACTCTATGGTTTTAGTCCTCCAGTGGCGGGAACGACATGCGCAGTGTGGTTGTTGAGTTGAACGCCCCACATCACCACAGGTATACCCCCACACACGTACACACCCGCTACGCACACATACATGCACACACACACGAGAAAAGTTAAAGTAAATCTCCATATGCAGAAGCAACACATGTGGCTGATGGGAGGGAGTGGGGGATGGCCTGGTGCTGTGAGCATGGGCCCCTCACCACGGTGGCACAGGTGCTGTCCCTCATGAGGTGAGGTGTTCCCCTTCCTTGCCCTCATCACTGAGGCAGGGGGAGGGCCAAAAATGTCAGATTAAAGGAAAATTGGAAATTCGAAAGGGAAAACCAGAAATGCCCACAACCTTTTGTGTGTATGAGCTTGGAAACATAACCCAGCCACATATTGAAAACTGTCAGCTCTGGAGGGGACAAAATCCTGTACTGACTTGCAGGTTTCCAGCTAAATGCTGTGTGATTTTGTACGTATTTTCTTGCCTTCCTAAGCACCAACCTGTCTGGTTATCCCTTCCTGAGGTGAGGGAGGCTGAAGTTGGCTGGAGGTGCAAGGAAGGTGTCGTGGTTTAACCCCAGCCAGACTAAGTACCATGCAGCACCCATGCCCAGCCCATCCCCAAGCAGCGATCAGCCCTTCTAGGCCAGCTCCTCCCAGTTTATATACTGGGCATGCCGTTCTATGGTATGGAATATCCCTTTGGCTAGTTTGGGTCAGCTCCCCTGGCTGTGCTCCCTCCCAGCTCCTTGTGCCCCTCCTCACTGGGAGAGCATGGGAAACTGAAAAGTCCTTGACTTAGGGTAAGCGCTACTTAACAACAACTAAAATGTCAGTGTGTTATCAACATTATTCCCATACCAAATCCAAAACACAGTCCTGTACCAGCTAGTAGAAAGAAAATTAACTTCTATCCCAGCCGAAACCAGAAAGGAAAGAAAAATGGGCTGAGTGGGTGTGACAAGGGAATGTGGTTTTGGGGCCTGTCCTGGTACAAATCAATATTTGTACCTGTTTTTTCTTTCAAAACCAGCTGAGAATCTGACCCTTGAACACAGGTAGGCACTCCTGGACAGGTGGCTCCATTTTTCCCTTGGATCATGTCTCGCCCCAGCTGTGCAGTTCAGCTGCGTTTCTGCAGCATGGCCATAGGAAGAAGCTGCAAAGCTGCCATAACAAGGACTATTGTGGGCAGATTGACAGATTGGCTCAGCCATGTCCTATTTCAGCTCACAAATAAACCAGTGAGAGAAACACCGTGGCAAATCGCAGATCTGTGATCCTCCTAGCCATTTCCATCCCGTCAGGCCAAGGAAAAATCAGGCATTGCCAGGTCAGCCAGCCAGTGCCTGAAATTACTTTTAATTTCAACCACCTGGGTAATTTTTAACCATGCTTTCAGGATTGGAGAGTATAATTATACAGACAGGTACTCTTCACTGGTTCCTTGTTAAAGAATCTTCTTTCCTTTTAACTTACTTCTTGAAGTTTTTTTGAATGTCTGTAACTGTCAAAACAGTGTCTAATCTGACACATTGTGCCCTTTGGCAATGAGGGGGTTACGTTGTCCTAGGTCAGGAGTAACAGTCCTCAGATTTCCTAATGCTCCCAGAGACTGATCATGCTCCCTTCAGTTTACATATGCAGTGTGTCTTCACAACACAAGACATACTACTTCAAAAAACAGTTTTTAGCTGGTAAAATAAAAGGCATGTTTTTGTGGTACAAGATGCTTCAACTCTTGGAATTGCTTTACTATGAAATAGGATGGAGAAAAGCATCCTAGAGTGAAAAAAAAGTTCAAGGACAGTTATCGTAAAGAAGGCTAACATTTTCAGGTTACACGGAATATAAATTTGTCTGCTGACACAAAAGAGGTCTCAGCGAAGTGAGAACTACTCAATAAAAGAACTTCCATTTAACAGTGATCTAATATTATGCAGACAGTGAAATAGATCTGATGAAGAAAATTGGACTCATCATGATTTCTTACAGGCTCAAATGATGACTTTTTTTTAGTAAGAACATAGAATCATAGAATCATACAATGGTTTGGTTGGAAGGGATCTTAAGGATCACCTAGTTCCAACTCCTCTGCCCTGGGCAAGAACACCTTCCACCAGACCAGGTTGCTCAAAGCCCCATCCAGCCTGGCCTTGAACACTTCCAGGGCTGGGGCATCCACAGCTTCTCTGGGTAACCTGTGCCACTGCCTCACTGCCCTCACCATGGATAATTTCATCCTAATATCTAATCTAAATCTTCCCTCTTCCCGTTTAAAGCCATGGCCCCCTGTCCTATCACTACACACCCTTGTAAAAAGTCCCTCCCCAGCTTTCTTGTCGGCCCCTTTAGGTACTGGAAGGCTGCTCTAAGGTCTCCCCGGGGACCCTTCTCTTCTCCAGGCTGAACAACCCCAACTCTCTCAGCTTGTCCTCATAGGAGAGGTGCTCCACCTCTTGAATCATCTTCGTGGCCCGCTCTGGACCTGCTCCAACAGGTCCATGCCCTTCTCGTGTTGGGGGCTCCAGAGCTGAAGGCAGTACTGCAGGGGGGGTCTCACCAGAGCAGAGTAGAGGGGGAGAATCCCCTCTCTCAACCTGCTTTGAATGCAGCCCAGGATACGGTTGGCTTTCTGAGCTGTGAGCGCACATTGCCGGCTCATGTTGAGCTTCTCGTCGACCAGCACCTCCGAGTCCTTCTCCTCAGGGCTGCTCTTGATTCGTTCTCCACTCAGTCTGTATTTGTGCTTGGGATTGCCCCGACCCATGTACAGGACCTTGCACTTGGCCTTGTTGAAGTTCATAAGGTTTGCACATGCCCACCTCTCAAGTCTGTCAAGGTCCCCCTGGATGGCATCTCTTTCCTCCAGTGTATCAACTGCACCACACAGCATGATTCGTTAAAAGATGCCTTGAAGAAAGAAATACATGTAGTGTTGTACAAACGGAGTCATAGCTCCAGATGAATCTCACTTGCATTTCAGAAAAGCTTGTTTATTGCATTATATATGTGTAGGGA